AAAAAGCTCAGCCAGGTCCTTCACTCGAGTTCGGTTCAAAACAGTCTCCTCAAGGATGAAGTAAGGAAGCTGAGAGAGGCTCTAGTTAATGAGAGAACACGTAGGAAACGAGGTAAGCCTCTACCCCTACAGGAGGCTGAGGAGTATCATGGTGGAGCTGTATTCTGGTCTCCAAGGAAGGTGAAGGAGGCGCGCGATCGCCTACAACTCCAGGAGGAGGAGGAGGAGCAACTGCAACTCCAAAAGGCTGATACGAGAAGACAGCGTGAGGAGACAAGGCAGGTTAGGGCGAGGGAGAAGGAGCAGAGGCGTCAGGCGAGGCTTGCAGTAAGTCTAATGAGGCAGAAGGAGAGGGAGGAGAAGGCTATTGAAAAGGCCTCAAGGATCGCGGCTCGCAAGGCTGCAAAACAACTTCAAAAAGCTATTAAAACTTCTCAAAGGGGTAGGAGAAGGAGCTTCATGGCTCCTGCAAAGGCTACTCAAAAAAAGAAGCCTATCGCGAGGCCTCAAGGTGGTGAGGAGCCTCAGGGAGGTGCTGCAAGCTCACCACCTCCAACCTCGCGTCGCGGCCGCGCGATTAGAACTCCGTCTCGATTTCTATAGCTGTATATATATATTAAAGCCTATTGATCTCACCACCAAAATATATCGTGATAATATCTATTTGGTGTGGCTCTATAGCCTCGTTTTTAAGGTAGTTTTGGTGAGGCCGCGCGCGCACTTTGTGGTCGCGCGCACTTTGTGGTGGGGCTAGTTAAGCCTTGATCAACAAGGCTCACCAAGTGACTAAGACTTCTAGACTGATCATGAACCATAACTGCGAGGAACTCATCTTCGGCTTGGATCAAAATACACCGGCGCAAGAAATTGTCTCGAGAACCAATCAGATGAAGAAAAGCGATGGAATTGTAGCAATGGAGAAGATCAAGGGTGATGCGGCTCAACAGGTAGTAAACATCATCGACCTCTTAGCCTCTTGGCATTGCGCCGTCCCGCGGACCGCATCCCCCGACTGACCCTGACTTTCTTGATCCAATCTCACGTCTTCCTGCAGATCTCAGCATTTTGAGCTTCATATTGTACCACCATCTCGTCGACTGGTCGTGATAGCCGTCATGTCAACAAGGCATTGCAACCCTTCACATCCATGCAACAAGAACACAAAGTGATGGATAAGTCGGCCTTAATTCCCAAAGCCTCCATAGTAGGATCTGCTGTTCATCAGGCTAAGTAGTTCCGCAATGGCCCTCGGTTGCACATAATGCCTCAACAACGCAAGGGCTGGCAAAGGAATCCGCTAATATCCCAACGGCCAGCCTCGCGGAGGTTACACACATGCAATTGCCACCGGATCGGCGTCCCGAAATTCGCTCCAATCACTGGTTGTCAAACTCTCTACCGATCGCACGAGGCTCTATCCAGGCGTCTAGATTGTGGCACAGTATTGGAAAACTGGCTCCCTATGTTATTTTCAGATTCGACAACGGACGGTGTCCACCGTGCCGTAGACAGGGGATATCGGGGCCAAAGACATGTAACGAGCGGTCAGCATACGTATATGAGGAGACAGGTCGTTCAAAATATCGAGACAACAGCCTGAAGCAGCCTTTTGCCCCTTGACTCCTACCGTTCAACTGTTGCCTCACGTACCAATACATAAAATCTGGGCTCATACTGCGCTTTGTAACAGAATGCGCCTCTTGGAGATAGCAGTGGTGGCGCTGACCAACGGCGTCAGTGCAGTCAAACAGACAGAGCACGACAAGCTGGCAGCTCGGGGGCTTGCCAACCTCAAGGCCGATATCGCTGAGAATGGCTACCCCAATCCAGGGAAATGCACAATGGAGAACGCTGCAATCCGAAAGGAGTGGTATGTTTTTTTTAGCTTGATTTTAGAGGATGCTTGATCCGACTAACATGTCTCTAGGTCTCAACTCTCCAAACCGGAGAGACGAAACTACATCGATGCTATAAAATGCCTTCACTCCAAGCCTACCCTTACACCAGTTACAGTTGCTTCGGGGGCAAGGAGCCGCTTCGATGACTTTGTAGTCACACATGTCTTGCAGACCTATTCAGTCCACGGGACCGTAAGCTACTCTCAGTTTGAAATCAGGTACTGTGACATGTACTAACCAGTCTAGGCCAACTTTCTGTCCTGGCACCGCTACTACATCTGGGCCTATGAACAACTACTGCGCAACGAATGCGGCTACCAAGGCTATCTCCCATACTACAACTGGGCGTGGTGGTCCAAAGACCCATCCAAATCGCCCCTTTTTGATGGCAGCGACACCAGCATATCTGACGGTGGAGCGTACGTGCCGAACCGGAACTACTCGTGTACTCCGTCTCAAGACAGGTGTTTTATCAAGCTTCCCCCAGGAAGCGGCGGAGGCTGTGTTTCCGGGCCGCTTGCCAACTGGACTGTTTCGCTTGGCCCAATCCAGACCAAAGCAGAGGGCATCAAACCCAATCCTCAAGCCGACGGCCTCGGGTACAACCCCAGGTGTCTCAACCGCGACCTGAACAAAGTCTCTGCCTACGCTTCAAGAGATGAGGTCATCACCGAGCTCATCACGACCAGCAACGAAGTCGGCACGTTCCAGAACCGCTTGCAAGGCGACTTTGCAAACGGGTACCTGGGCGTGCACAGCGCAGGGCACTACACGGTTGGCGGGGACGCCGGTTCCGATTTCTTCAACGCCCCTTCTGACCCCGTATGTCCCTCTCTCTCTCTCTCTCTCCCCTTTCTAATTGTAGCGTTTCCGTGTATCTCATTCTTTTCCACTGACACGCGCCCAGTCCTTCTACTTCCACCACGCCATGGTCGACCGCACATGGTGGATCTGGCAGAACCAAGATGTCGCTGCGCGCCGCGCCCAAGTCGCCGGCACAATCACGTTTTTGGATCAGCCGCCCAGCCGCAATGGCACGCTGCAGGATACACTGACGCTTGGACCCATGCTGCAGGACGCGTTTGAGAACATCACCATGGCGGATGCGATGAGTACGCTTGGAGGCCCGTTTTGCTATATTTATGCTTAGCTTAGCTTGGAAAGAAAAAAATAAGTAATGATGACCGGCGACATATGTGCTGTGTTCGTTGCCAGAGTGATGCAGTGTGCCGAGGTACTTAAGTATGCAGCATGCAGGCGTGGCAATAAGTACGTACATGGATCAGGACACAAACGTCCCAAGTGGTTTGTTTTACGTGAGACGGGACGGTACGGTACGGTACGGACGGGGCCAGACAGACGGCCAATTCCAGTGTCGCATTTGTGACGCAAAAACCCAATACTCGTTTCCGTGGGACTGGTATGCGAGGGCGCGGGCACAGGCACAAGCCGGGAAAAAAGGGCAGGCAGGCAGGCAGGCCCAGACGGGGACAAGACCGAACGCATGGCGTGTGTCTCCCCTGCCCGCCCCATCGCCATGGGAGGAGCTGTTTTGAAACAGCGGGAAAAGGGGAAAGACGGAATGGCATGGCATGACCGTGTGTAGTCGGCAGAGATATGTACTAACGCAGTTTACACAGCATGTCAAGTTCAAGTCAGGCAAAGCAAGAGAGGTAATGGTATCTTGGAAGCAGTAACACCGAGCGAAAGAGAAAGAGAGAAAAAAAAACGATAGCAATAGCGATCACATCGGGGGTATTAATTCTGTATATTTAATTATTCACTTTTCTTTCTCTCTCTCTCTCTCTCTGTTCAGTGACAGTGGTATACACAACAAAACAAACAAACAGAGCGGCAAAATCCATCCTTTCCTCGTCGCAGTCATTATTCCCACATGACCAGTGTTTCATTATGCATAGCCCCATGGCTATGTCGAGCCCGCGATTAACATTTCTAGTGTCGGTGATAGAAGAGTAAAACTGGGGGGTACTGTGTTTATAGGGCGAGCATGGCGAGGGCGGCAGCACCAATGATGCCGGCGGCGTGAGTGGCCTGGACAGCGGCGCCAGTGAACTGGGAGGCGCTGGAGCTGGCGGCGGGCGAGCGGGAGGGAGTGGTGGTGGGGGTGGGAGTCATGCTTGGGACCTTGCTGTCCATGGAAGAGTGGGTGACGATGGACATGATGCCGCCGGAGGTGCCAGAAGGAGAGGCAGATGGGGATGGAGAAGGAGAAGGAGAGGCAGAGGCAGAGGGAGAAGCAGAGGAAGCGGCCGAGGCGGCGGGAATGGAGCTCTTAGGGGCATTGTCGCCAGAGGGAGCGGCGCTGGCGCCGGGGATGGTGATGGGAACACCGACGGATTTGCAGGTTGCCTCGACGGCGGCAATGGCCTTTTGCTGGTCGGCGGCCGAGCAGGCACCTTGGGCACAGGGCTGGACCTGGGAGAGGAGCTGATCGCCCTTTTTGCAGTGGCATGCAAAGTCGCTAATGTCCTTGCAACCGTCGCCGGCAAGAGGGCCAATGAAGCAGGTCAGCTATTTGGTGTCAGTAAGAGGTCCGTCAAAGGAGATTGATCAAAGTAGATAGACATACAGCGCACTGGGGGATGTTGTCGAGCTGTGCGCTGGCAACAGAGGCCAAGGCGACAATGGAAGCGATGGTGAAGGTCTTCATTTTTGCAGCTGTTTGGATCTAGCGTGGAGACGGGTAAATCAAAAAAGGGCTCGATTATAACGACAGTGGACTTTGTGGGGCAAAAGCAGAAGAGGCTGGGCTGTCGAAGGGTCTTTATACACAGAGGACTGGGCCATTCGGCACCCCATGTCCAAAGCAGGGCCTTGTTGGCACCATGGTACGGCCTGGGTCCACAAAATCACCTGTGATCACATGTGGTTCCTTGCTAGCCATGGCGATCTTGGAGAAAGGGCTGGAGGTATTGCTGTATGTGGCAGCACTAGATGAGCCTACCCCAGACTAGAGCACTAGGCGCGGCTGTATGGACGGGAATGCAGGCTGCAAGGTTTATTGGCGTGAAAGAGAGGCGCTGGACACGATCGGCGAGTGATGGAGACTGCCAAAGACAGGAATGGATGCAATGCCGCGTCAGCTCCCATGTCTCATGGCCGCTCCATGGCAAGCATGCGAGCAAGGTTGGTACAGTTGTGTTGAGGCAAGCGACGATCCATCAATGCAGCGAGCGGACGCCATTGGGTCGCCACGGAAAGTCAAGCACTGGCAGCGGAAGCGAGGCCAGGCAGGAATCAGGGGTTGGAGGGTTGGTCGAGTGTCAGGTCGTATGCCTCGACCACTGCAGACTGTGGCTGATTGGATGTTGTGCGGCAAAAGGCCGGACATTAACCCGTCGAGGATTAGGCCAATGGGAAAATCTGGGGCAGACATGGTGGCTGTGAATGCTCGCAAAGTATAAAGCCAATAAGCAGGTGGCTTGGAAGAGCTTGACATGGCCGTGGGTTTCTGTTTGGCACTAACGCACGCTTTCGAGGGCGCTGGCATGGCGAGGGGGGAGTGTGGTGTGCAGAAGCGGCGGGCGACGCCAGAATTCGTCGTTGCAACCCCGCAAACCCAGCGCCCGTCTTGGACATATTTCCGGAACAGCCCGTATTTGCCCATGCCGGGTTAGAAGCGTTTTGAAGTGGCGTCGGCTGGGCCCTCTGTGCCTCGATGCTGCAGCATACACACACAACGAATTTCGGACCCTCCGGTTACGTGGGCGGCTGGAGACGGCGTGGCTGGCCGTACCTGCGTCGGGTTGCGAGTGTCGTGTTCCTACTAGACGTCAGCTCAGTACATGTACAGCGAGTGATTATCCGAGGACGCCGAACCGTCTGAGAAGAGGCTGCTGGACGCCTGAGTATGCGTCGACGTTCGCGGGCGAATGCGGCGTGACTATTGAAGGGCAAGGATTTTGCGTTCCTGCGTCATTCCTCTGCGGAGCCAGCTTCCTTGTCTGGGCAAGATCTGTCGGCTCGGCATCAAGCTCCTCGGCAGCATGTGCTTGTGTCTACCTACAAGCACAAGTACGTCTGCTCCAAGCACAAGCACGACATTTGCGGACAGGGAGCCTGGAGCCATTGGGCGGAGAACCCGGGAGATCTGGGGAAACAAGCATTGTCCCACTGATATGACGACGGAGAAGGGGTGCGCGACACCGCTGCGAGCCACTTCAATGTATGCCGATCTGATCTGAGGGCAGTACGTCAAAGCGCATTGAGTGATTAATTTCCAGTGCCCAAAGAGGAGACCTCACCGCTTCCTCCACAGTACGCCGCCAAGCCGCGGGAACTGGACTGCTACACGCCGGTGTCGTCTCCTTGCACGCCTGAAAAATCCGTTCGTGAGGCAAATATCTGTAACCCAAGTGCGAGAGAAGTTCGACATGCTGCTTATGGGAGTAGCAGACTGGTGCACTGCAGCACGCTTGAGGGCCAGCAGTTTTCTGCTAAGACGATAACAAAGTCCCTCATTCGACGCATGTACCCTACTAGCATACAAGTGCTATGTTAAATTTCTTTATTTATGCTCCGTCTGGCAGCTTTCAACGCTTAGCGTGGCAGGGAAGTACAGTGTAATTAACCTTCAAGAACGCTGCACATTGCTGACACCCGGCCCCTAACCCTAACCCTGCTATCGGCCGAGCTTCAACTCTTTGAGTAAAGAGACCTCCATACAAGGAAAAGCAGTGGATAGAATCCTAGCTCACTCTGGCTTCCATAAGGTCTCGATTACTGTTTCTGGTTATCAGCCATGGTCTTACTAAAGCAGGAGTATTCCGTATAACGACAAGAGGAAGCGAAGACTTACACCCTATACCACATAATTAGCTCTATTTCTACTAGAGAAGCAGTGTTGCAGATATCTCAGGAAGAGGGGAAACTTACACACTGTACCAAATTCTTAGCATAATTCTTGCTGTAGAAGTAGTACTACATATAGCTAAAAACGGGAAAGAAGACTTACAACCTGCATTAAACAATTAACTATATCCTTACTAGAAACACAATATTCCACATAAGAAAGAAAGGAAGAAGACTTACACACTAGAATGTGTTTTGCTAAGAAACTGCCCAATCAGTAAGCTGTGCATGTTACCAAACCTGGAACGGCTCTCTTGAATTTACGAGTGCATGGCTTCTGAATTCTGTCATTTTATCTGCAATATACGTGTCGCTGCTCGGGCAATCATCTAAAGCAGAGTGGGCAAGAAATCACTAACAGAGATACGGCATATGTATTTTTGCAGAAGTACATGCTTAATTACATAAATTAAGGCTATTGACTGTATAGGAGAGTCAAGCAGATGCGTTGACTTGCTTAACAACCTCTGGATGTCTAATAGCATAAAGCTCTAACAAGGTACCTTCTTGGTACTCTACTAATGCGTACCATAGCTATCGGCAAAGCAAGCTTCAGCCTTTCTGTAAGACGCTATGTAATTCCTGCTGCGTTTCTCATCTAAAATCACAGACGCGCTACTGCAGATCTATTACTTCACACTCATGTTTGCACTAGATAAGAGCATGATACGTACACACATACGCTTGTGTCCTCACCTATCCTTCCCGAGTACAGACTATCTACACTATCTGCTAGAATCAGAAGACGTTACATATCTTCTAACTCTATATAACAATACCCTACTTAAGCAAAGATAGCCTGTAAGTTTCAGGACCACAGAGTTTCCTTGGGTGTATTGTTGTATTGCTGTGCTCAACAGCTGTGCGGCTAGTTCGGCATATATTGATAACGAGCACTGTCGTATATACAAGCTCTCCAGACTTTATACAACTATTCACTGCGCAACATTCAGCTCACGTCTATGCCAAATCTGACGAGAGTATTCCAGTTCGCAGAGGCCTGGGCTCATAACATTCTGCATGACTAGTCTAGGCTCACATCCAATCACCATGCGTCACATGTACTGACGACTCGATTGTCTCGTCTATCCCGGTGATGCCGTTAGGTCTCATGATCAGAATACCGGTAGCGGGGAACAGTGACGTTTCATACGTGGGCGCGTACCGATGTGACCCGCAGCGACTCTTCCAGATCGACCGATGAGAGTAGCGTGCAGCGTCTCTTGGGGAACTCAGCTGCAGCTTTGTTTCTCTTACTAATAAATATTGGAATGAGACTCTCCAACGTGGGTAGTGCTGGATCGAGTAGAGCAAGGTGGTTATAGCCTAGCCGCACATGACTGTAGCCACGTGACATACATATGCATAAAGGAGGATTGTGCACATGGAGAGAAATGGCCGCTGTGCACGGGATAAGATGAGATTGATAGGATAAGATAAGATGAGATTGATAGGATAAGATAAGATGGAGTTCGGCGCTGGCTCGGCTCAGTCCGGCCAGGCACGCTAGTGAAACTTCCGTCAGTGTTCGCGGTCCAAAGTTCACGACCAACTGTTGGCCTCCAGTATCAGCCAACGCCTCCATACGCGCCTTCTCTCCATTGCCATCGTCCAGGTCGCCTCCGCTCCAGTCCTTCGTCGTCCCATCGGTTTCCCGATAAACGCCACCATGGCCGACACGGCAGCTCCGCGACCGCACAGCACAGCAGAACAACTCGTAAGGCTGTCCTCGAAGCGGACGCGAGAGATATTCGCCGCCGACTTTGCTTCCTCAGCCGCGCTCGATCACGCATCAAACGGCAACTTCTCGATACACCCTACCACGCCAGCCCCCTCGGTAGCCGCAGACCAAGCAGGCGTCGCATCGCGCATTCGCAATGAATACGAACACGTGCGTGAACTGCCGCCTGCCCTCGCCGCCAAGATGGCAAGTGCTGCCTCTACAGCCGCCGAGCGACGCAAGAAGATCAAGGCGCAGAATGCCGAAGAAAAGGCCTCGGACCCAAAAATGCAGAAGATGATTGAGGGTGTTTCGGAGAGGGCTGACAAGGCGCGCGACGCGCAATCAATGCAGTTGGCTGTAAGGGCCGGAGGGAAGGGCGCTGCGCCAAATGCACAAGGGCCCACGCCAACCAGAGACCAGACATCCAGTTCGCTGGTTAGAAAGGACGTGGTCAGGCAAGCAAAGCCCGAATGGCATGCCCCTTGGAAGGTCAAGACGGTTATCAGCGGTCACATGGGCTGGGTGAGTGGATCTGAGGCAACAATAGCTACAACAGGGACTGACGTCGTCATAGGTGCGATCGGTGGCCATGGAGCCTGGAAACGAGTGGTTCGCCACGGGCGCGGCGGACCGCACTATCAAGCTCTGGGACCTTGCGAGCGGTCAATTGAAAATCACACTCACAGGACATATTTCGGCAGTCCGAGGCCTCGCCGTAAGCCCGAGGCATCCATACCTTTTCTCATGCGGAGAAGACAAGATGGTCAAGTGCTGGGACCTGGAAACCAACAAGGTAATCCGGCACTACCATGGCCATCTGAGCGGAGTCTACTCGCTTTCGCTCCATCCTACAGTCGATGTGCTGTGCACAGGAGGCCGAGACGGTGTAGTGCGAGTATGGGATATGCGCTCACGCAGCAACATCCACGTCCTCGGCGGCCACAAGGGCACAATCTCGTCGATCCAGTGTCAAGAAGCCGAGCCCCAAGTCATTTCCGGAAGCATGGACAGCACAATCCGCCTCTGGGACCTCGTGGCCGGCAAAACACGCACCGTCTTGACCCACCACAAGAAGTCGGTCCGCTCTCTCGCCATCCACCCCACCGAATTCACCTTTGCCTCTGGCTCCGCACAATCCGCCAAGCAATGGCTCTGCCCCAACGGCGACTTTATGCAAAACTTCACCCCCGTCACCAGCATCATCAACACGCTCTCGGTAAACGAAGACAACGTCATGTTTGCCGGCAGCGACAACGGCGAAATCTCCTTTTACGACTGGAAAACCGGCCATCGCTTCCAGCACGGCGAGAGCATCGCTCAGCCTGGTTCCCTCGAGGCCGAAGCCGGCATCATGTGCTCTACCTTTGACAAAACCGGTCTCCGTCTCATCACAGGCGAGTCCGACAAGTCCATCAAGATCTGGAAGCAGGATGACAATGCCACTGAGGAGACGCATCCTTTGGATTGGAAACCCACGCTGGGTAGGCAAAAGTATTGAGTTTTTTTTATTTCTCTCTCTTATTTTTCAGTAAGTACAGCGACTTCTTCGGGGGAGATTTTCCAAGCAGTTTTTTTTTGGACTCTTTTTCTTCTTCTTCTTCTTCTTCTTCTTCTTCTTCTTCTTCTTCTTCTTCTCTGCTTTGCATGGGAAACGGGTGTTGAGGCGAGCATAATGGCGTCAAGATTCTATGATAATTCGGTCATGTGCGCGTAATACGCATCAATTCGAGAATAAGGCATGATGGATATATATACCATATTTGTGATCACAACACTGCTTGGTTTGTCACACTTGATAGAAAGAGAGAGAGAGAGCTTTGAATAACAGAGAGAGCACCATTTCTACCATCATCACTTATCGCTGTTGTTTCTGCGACAATTGATTGACCTTTCATCGCCAGTCTCACGGCAACACTGCAAGCAACTCAATACTGGAAAAACTTCCAATACTTACAGCCATTTTCATGACCAACCTAACCCTATTATCATGCATCGTAACGATTGCCCATCATACATACATGAACACACACACACACACACACGTGCCAACAACCATCATCTACTCTGAACCACCCACACCCATGACGCCCCTACCAAACCACTCACTAATGACCGCAAACCCATCTTTACCCCTCTTGAGCGCATCCTGGAAGAGATCATGCCTCTCTGCGCTCTCCACCTGCGCCCGCCTGATAGCTTTGACCGTCGCATTGTTCGCACTGCAAATGGGGCATTCGACATCTGCATCGTGCACGTCCTCGTCTGTACTCAAGCAGCTCTGGTGATAGCTGTGCTTGCACAGGAAGTGGACGACGGGAAGCTCCAAGCTCTTCATGCAGACTTGGCAGCGCGAGTTCTGGAACACAGCGGGCTTGGTGTTGAGGGCTTCAAGCTCTGCCTTCTTGGCCGACGTGTCGGACCGGAACGTCTCGATGTTGCGCCGGTTGGTGGTGATTTCGGCGCGCTCGCGCTCAATCGTTGTGCTGAGGTATGTTTTTATCATGCCCATTGTTGCGACGCCGTTGGTGGACAGCGTTTGGATGACTTGCAGGGGTGCCATCAGGCCGTCGTCGTCAATCTTCTTGAGGACCGAGTCTAGTTCATCCCCGGCTTCGGCGAGGACGTCTGGTGAAGAGGTGAAGTAGGCGAGGGCAGCTGGGTAGAGTGCTGGTTCTTCTGGGCCGTACTTTTGCAGTGCGCGGATGGCGCCCTGCGTGTCGTTGGCGGCGGTGCAGGAGCGGAAAATGTCAAAGTAGAGGCCTTGCTGCTCGCGCACGAGAATCGCTCCGTCGCGGAAGTTGGAGAGATGCGAAAGCAGCAGCACGTTGGATGTGTCTATGGGAATGTTTTTGCCTTCGACAAGCTTCTTGGCTTTGCTCTCCCATTCTTGTCGCTCGCCGTCCTTCTTGGAGGATGCAGTGTGCAGGTACATCTCAAACAATGTCGTGTAAAGATCGACCTTGTCATCTTCGCGAAGTTCTTCTGATGCTATGCATGCCTCCAGAAACACGATAAACTCCTGAGGGTGATCGACAAACGCCGAAAACGCAGTCCGCGGTTTCGGGACTTTGTACTCAGGAGCAGGCTCGTCCGTGGTCGTCTCAATTATTTGAGCTTGGCTCATTGTGCTCTTTTGTTCGCCAGATGGTGGTGATGCCAATGCATTGGTGTTCATGTAAGGCAAAGGCAGCAGTGCAGCAAGATTCTGCACAGCGCTGGATGCAACGCCTAGACCCATACTCATGCCTCCCCCAGATGAAGGAGCATTGGGTATTACGATAGCGTCTTGCTTCGGCCGGAATTTCCCAGTGTAGTAATCGATGAACAACTGCGTAGTATCCTTGGGTAGGTGCTGCAGCAGTACTGTGGCGTACTTCATGAGGTTGAAATAGGTCACTTCTGGTTCCAGTCGCCATATGTAGGCTAACGCCTCCGCATACCGCTTTGAATCCTCAATCAGAACGTCGACGACCAGTTCATGTTCGCCATGCTTTCGGGCAAGGAAAGCTGCTTGGTCGTAGTAACCTCCTTGTCGACACATTGAGATGGCAGTATCGAGATCAAACTTGAGATCGTCCGGTGACTTGATGAATTCTTCAAGCTTCTCTACATCCTTGAGCTTGGCGTAGCAGTTCAAGAGCAGAGTAGTGTGATCTGATGTCGCCTTGTGGTGGTCATGGAGTTCTTCCAGGTACTCTATCAGGTTGTGGATCCTTTGCGTGTCGAGAAACTGGTTTAACCGTTAGTCATGGACTTGCTTCAGGCTTGGCTTCAACATACCTTTCTGATGACCTGAGACGGTTCAGTGTTATCGATGGCTTTGAGATACTGCTGCATAGCAGTATCATAGTCCTGCTTGGAATACAGGTAGTCGCCAAATTTGCGAAGGATGATGTTCTGTTGGGACGAGTCCAGTCCGGCCTTCTGGGCCAAGTTGATAGCCAGAACATACAGATTACGTTGGTAGAGTATGTCGAGTTTTTGCGCAAAAGGCTTTTCATGATACCTGAAAATCTGAATACAGTTAGCTCTAAACTCGGACAGTCTGTGGGCATTGTACCTTTCCATCGATTGTGAAGACGAACAAGTCACCCCATTCGGCGACGACGGCCTTGACCTGTGAGGTCAGCTGTTCTTGGTGCGCGATAAACCTCAACTCCGTATTGAGAAGCGTAAAGGTAGAGGTATTGAAAACATCATCGGCAGCGCCAACGCCAAAGGCTCTGAGAGGATTGGTCCGTGGCATCGCGTTTGACTTGGGAGGCGCAATGATGGCAATGTAATCCTTGAAGACCGAAATCATCTTTTTCTCGCCTTCATATGTGTAGGGTGGCCCACGGCCGTGCTGGCCATAGTAGTAAATGGCATCGTTGCGTGCAACCACCACATCCCGCGTCGATTTGTCCACAGCCATGCATCCCACGGCGCAGCCGTACTCGTCGAGAGACTTTGCAGGCTGGCCCTGGCCCCTTCCAGATATTACGAGCGTCATGATACGGGCGGTGGTCGCAATGTACAGAGCCGTAATGTTTCCTTCCCTGAACTCGATACCAGTAATAGGCTCTTCGGACTCAAATACGGTTCGTTGTCGCGCGCCGCGGTCGTGTATGAGGTCGCCGCGTACGACGGTAACGGCGCCATTTGCGAATCCAACTGCCAGCTGGGAGAGGTTGTCGAGCGCTGCAAATGCGGATATGGGGAACTGTTTGCGCCCATTGTGAATGGTGAGAGTGCTCTGGCACCGTGGAATGCCCGTCTTCTTCTCAAGCTTGTCCAAGGCCCACACTTTCAGAACCGGCTCGCTGGAAAGGTCTTCGGCTATGGTGACGAGGAGAGAGGTTCCCTCGACCTGCTTCATGTGGGTGATTGAGCCTGCGTCATGGGCCTTGAACGTGCGCACGACCTTGAAGGCCTGCGACACGATGCGAACGACGCCATCTGCACCACCGAAGAAGATGCTCTCCGATCCGGATGTTATGCACGTGATATCGCCAATCTACAAGTACTCATGAGACAAGGCCGGCGCGGAAGAGGCCGTGGTCATACCTCGGACAGGAAGGAGCTCTCTTCGTCGGGGAGCTTGACTTGCGAGACATCGAAGAAGCGGAACTGCCACTTTTCACACATTAGCATTGCGACTCGGCGACTCGAAGGGTGAATGGTTGCACACTGACCGGAGTGACTGCCATACTGCTATCGCTCCATACTCGCCGCTGCCTGTATGGCAGGAGCTATCGTCACTCGCAACCCCGGTTGTGGTTGGGCAAGTACGGCCCGCCGATTGACCGTTGCGCCTTGGCCAATCAGCGTGCACCGGGCGTGTCGTGGCTGAGCAAGGCTTGGCGTCCGCCCTCTTGATTGTCTTGCTGCCTCGCGCTCTCCCCTTTCCTCATCTCACCACCACTCTTCCCAACCCCCCCCCCCAAAACACCTTTCGCATCTGCGCTTCATCGCCAGAACGCCCACCCAGCAGCCCCACGCTCTCTACGCTTGCGCAAGCCCACTCTGGTTCTGAGCCTCACGAGCCTTACCAACTACGACGCGCCTGCCCCCAAACAGCGCGTTTCTTTGTCTCCAGCCTCGACACCAGTCCAGTCGCACGTCTATCAAAGAGACCGCTAGCCTTTGCTATTCCATCAACTGCCACACCGCCTGCCTGACATCAGCGCGCCTTTACACCACCGCCCGCTCAGCCCAAGTATTATCATCCCTCAACCACTCATCACCATGTCTGCAAACAAGATGGAGCAGAGCCTCGACGACATCCTCAAGGCCTCGAAGACTTCTCGCCGCGGCCGCAGCACTCGCCGTCCTGGCACTGGACGACCTGCCGCCGCTCCCGCTCCTGTAGGCGGTGTTGCGAAGACGACCAAGCAAGGCAAGCAGGCTAAGCCCGCGCCTGCTACTCCCGCCGCTGTCCTGGGCGGCGAGACCAAGATCATGGTATCCAACTTGGTATGTTCTAGAATGCCTGGAATGCATGGATTTTGCTAACGCGCACCAGCCAAGGGACATTGACCAAGTCCAACTTCAGGTATGTAAGACCGATGCAGGTCTTTGAGCCTACTCTTCTCGCATTTGCGAACCCGTACGAGTGCGATCCGACGACCCGAGCATTCTCCCTCCGCCTTCCGGTATGGATGTTGAGCCATGACTTGCCAAAAATCAAACCATGATCTGTGTTGGGCACACATGACTGGTATAAGATTAGCAGCATGCGAACATTTCGAGCTACCGCAACGACGAAAGTGGGTGATCCAAACTTGCGAGCTACACTTCACAAGTGGAAGCGCAAGCAGCCACGCTCCAGTGCCAACATTCTGGATGCGACGCAGCAACTCTTGCAGGTCAGCAGAGCGGCGAGACGCGAAGATTGAGTACAGTCACCGATAGCCTTGAAATTATCAGAGGGGCGTGGGCAGGCATCACCAGACTATCTCAGGACGATGTAACACGTTCATCGCAACGACCGCTCCCGCAATGAGTTTGCTTTGTGCTGCCGAAGTTTGCGTTCGAGGCACAGGATCAGAGAACCCACTTTCTGAGCGGCGCTCACAACCGCGTTAATTGGAATCGACGACTACCCCCGGCCGACGCCGCACTTGCCGTCAATGTTGCTTCTATTTTCGCGATTATCAACTCCTGGCACGACCACTAATACGCCTTGTAGGACTACTTTGCCTCAGCCATCAATGTAGGTCGACCAAAGAAGGTTCTCCTCCAATACGATGCTGCTGGCCGTAGCGTTGGCAGCGCAACCATCATCTTCAACAAGCACGAACAAGCTGCCAAGGCTACTGCTGCGTTGGATGGCGTCAAGATTGACGGACGCCCTGTCCGCGTCGAAATGCTTGTCAGCGCTAGCGCACTCCCTGCTTCGACGCGCCCTGCTTCGCTAGCGGACCGTGTTACGTATGTATCCTCTTTGTGGCGCGGGAAAAGGAATTTTGGCTAATGCATGTACAGGCAACCAAAGAAGGACAAGCCCAAGCCCGCTACCACAGAAAAGGCTGCCGCAGGTGCCACACGTGGACGTGGACAGACGCGGGGACGCGGCAAGGGCCGTGGTGGTCGTGACGCGCGCCCAAAGAAGAAGACTGTCGAGGAGCTGGATGCCGAGATGGCCGACTACTTCCCAGGCGGTGAGGCCAACGCTGCCAGCGGTGCTGAAGTGGCTCAAGTTACCGCTGGCGGTGACACTGCCATGGATGATGAGATGCTGTAAACGCGACTCGTATCGACGCGTTTCCCATCACATCACCCATGACAATGTCACGATTTAATTGAGCATCGGTTGCAAGTGGTTCAGCTTTTCCGGTAGTCGAGTTGGTTTTCACCTTTATTTTCTTGGGAGCGTTAATCTTTCTAAAAACATCATACCCCGAACGGTCGGTTGTCGGTTAAGGACGGCACAAGACATGATTCGGCTTTTGTACACGACTCGTCGACGGTTCGTTTCGGATCACAAATTGTACTCTGGGCTTCGGTAGCTACAATCAAGAATGGTCATGGTTCCAGCAATAGACACCACTGGTCCGTACTTTCTTGTCCCCTGTGATGATGTTTATCTGTGCATGCCTGTGTGGAGGGTCGTGACGACGATGTTTATCTCGCAGGTTCGTGCCGGACCACAGGAAAGATGAAGGTAGTCAGTCGTTCACATGGCCCCCCACTTAACATACGGTGAGGGGCCAGACAAGCAGCACGTTTTGCGGAATGGTAGATGCGCATGCGTCTTTTCACAGCGAGGCGGTTGATAGCAGCAGGACGAGTGATGTCGGGCAGAGGTCGGGCTGGGGCGGGGACATTCCGCGTCAGCAAGCAGTAGCTCTGGGCCCGGGGCATCAAATTACTGAATGCGGATACTGCTGTGTGTTGCGGAGGTCGGGATGTGGCAGTTTTCCAGTCTGGGTCGGCATCACACCACCGTGGGGCCATGCTATTCGTATACGGGCACAGGGGACAGCCCTGAGTGCGATGGCTGGAGCTGGCCGCTGGCTGCTGGCCGCTGGAGCAGGTGTATTCGCATTACCGGAGCCTTTCGTGCGAAGGGGACGTGGGTAGCGTGGTTAGGCCACATGTGGTTGCGTCGTGGCCGCTATTTGCTCAGCCATGTGGAGACTCACGGCTAACCAAGCTTCGGACCGGAAAGATGCTGGGCCAAAGGAGCGCTCGTCCGGCGCAAGCTTAATCGGACAAGCTCGACTCATGGCGTTCGCCGTCTCCTGGCCAGGTTCTGCCTTGGCATCGATTGGTTGCGATGGCATGGAGTGCCGGGGGGGGCTCTGGTCCAGGCTGGGGAGTGAGGTGCGCATCCAGCAGTGGCAGCAGCAGTCCAAGCAGTCCAGGTGGCGCGGTACTCGTTGTAATGGAGGCCGAGGTTGCTGGGATGCTCGACGGGGTTGCCGTTTGCGCGTTAGCAGAGTGGCGACGCTGGCGGCTCGTAGGAGTGGGAGTAGGTGTAGGTGGATGTGGATGTGGATGTGGATGGGGACTTTGTGCACGCCGCCCAGACATGCATGGTGCTGATGATGCAGTTTCGTCAGGACAGGCGTCTATCTCTATCTCCCTCGCCTCCCCTCCCCAAGCTGCAAGCATGCCACCATGCGGGCGGCAGCGCGGCGCCGCTTTGCGCGTATGCATGTGGGTGAGCGCAGCACCGTCTGCCGTCAGTGGGCGTAGCTCCGTGTCTCTGCCGCATGGGCGACCAACAAAGCCTGTGTGTGGCAAGGCTGCGTGCGGCTTCGACATGGCGACTGCGGGGGAGGGGTAGCTTTCACTGGCTGCGCGAGCGGGGCAGCGAACCCTGCCCGATGGGCTAAGCGTCATCCACTCATGCATCCCTGAGACACACCATGGCCCGCAGAGCTTTCCCAGGACGGGATCCCGCTGACCGAGCCTGTCTGTCTGGCCCATCGTGCAACTGTGTGCTGCTGCCCGGTGGAGAGAAACGTCTCTAGTGCCGCGGTGCGTGGCACCCAGGAGTACTTAAGATTTCTCATCGCCCCCTCGTGCCCCTCTTTCTATCCCCAAGTCCCTCCCACCCGTTGTTTCCTTCAGATACCCCAATTCCTTTTCGCAGCCATGTCCGAGACGTTAGCAAAGCTCTCTACCCCCCAGACGGGCGAGTACGAGCAGCCCACCGGCCTGTAAGTCATGCACCCGCCCGGCGACTTTGCTGGTGCTTTAGTAATCGCCCCTGGCGCATGCCGCGTACTGACAAATGGCCCAGCTTCATCAACAATGAGTTTGTCAAGGGCGTCGACGGCAAGACCTTTGAGGTCATCAACCCCGCCACCGAGGAGGTCATCTGCAGCGTCGCCGAGGCCACCGAGAAGGATGTCGACATTGCTGTCGCGGCCGCCCGCAAGGCCTTCAACGGTCCGTGGAGGAAGGAAACACCAGAGAACCGCGGAAGGCTTCTCGTCAAGCTTGCCGACCTCTTCGAGCAGAATGCCGAGCTTCTCGCTGCCGTCGAGGCGCTTGACAACGGCAAGGCCTACAACATGGCCAAGAACGTCGACCTTCCCGCCGCTGCCGGATGCCTGAGGTACTACGGAGGATGGGCCGACAAGATCGAGGGCAAGATTGTCGACACCACACCCGACACCTTCAACTACATCCGCAAGGAGCCTGTTAGTATCCTTGTATCCCATCTTGAACCACACAGCTAACAGTCGTCAGATCGGCGTTTGCGGTCAGATCATTCCCTGGAACTTCCCTCTGCTCATGTGGTGCTGGAAGATTGGTCCCGCTATTGCGGCCGGTAACACCGTCGTCCTGAAGACGGCTGAGCAGACTCCCCTGTCTGCGTACGTTGCATGCAAGCTCATCAAGGAGGCCGGTTTCCCACCAGGTGTCATCAACGTCATTACCGGTTTTGGTAAGATCGCTGGAGCTGCCATTGCCTCGCACATGGACGTCGACAAGGTTGCCTTCACTGGTTCCACCGTCGTTGGTCGTCAGATCATGAAGGCTGCCGCTGGCTCCAACTTGAAGAAGGTCACCCTCGAGCTTGGAGGCAAGAGCCCCAACATTGTCTTCGCTGACGCCGATATGGACGAGGCCATCAACTGGGTCAACTTCGGCATCTACTTCAACCACGGCCAATGCTGCTGCGCTGGTTCGCGTATTTACGTCGAGGAGTCCATCTACGACAAGTTCATCGCGCGCTTCCGGGAGCGCGCTGCTCAGAACGCCGTCGGCGACCCATTCGCCAAGGACACTTTCCAGGGTCCCCAGGTTTCGCAGCTCCAGTTCGACCGTATCATGAGGTGAGTTTTTCGTGGCATCGTATTGCGTGCGACCTTGCTAACTGCAATGCAGCTACATCGAGGACGGTAAGAAGTCTGGCGCCACTGTTGAGACTGGCGGTAAGCGAAAGGGTGACAAGGGCTACTTCATTGAGCCCACCATCTTCTCCAACGTCACCGAGGACATGAAGATCCAGCAAGAAGAAATCTTCGGCCCCGTGTGCACAATCTCCAAGTTCAAGAACAAGGAGGAAGTCATTAAGATTGGCAACTCGACCTCATACGGCCTTGCTGCCGCTGTCCACACCACCAACCTGAACACGGCGCTCGAGGTTGCCAACGCGCTCAGGGCCGGAACTGTATGGGTCAACACCTACAACTCTCTTCACTGGCAGCTGCCATTCGGTGGCTACAAGGAGTCTGGTATTGGCCGTGAGTTGGGTGAGGCGGCGCTGGATAACTACGTCCAGACCAAGACGGTCTCCATCCGTCTCGGTGACGTGCTCTTTGGTTAAGTGTTTTTTTCTGTAAAAGCCCCGAAGCAAATCTGTACTGTATATAGCGAAGTTAGCAGGAAACGACAAATCAAAGTAAAAATCCTGATACTGACGACTCATTCCCTGTGCTTGGATGATGATGATGAGAATCTGCACTGCGGTGAAAGGCGCCTGAGTCGTCTGCACCGAACCCCTTTTCCACCGGCCTTGCTTTACGCTGCAACATATCCCTAGCATGGGTTGCAGCAATAAGCTTACCTTGATTAGAGCGTAGCTTGAAGCCTTTTGAATCAGGAGAGGTCATGGCTCAGGGCAATGCAGGTGTGGAAGACATGGCCGGTTAGACAGCAGATCAGGTCAGGTGTTGTCTCGTGTTGCCAAGGAGAGAGCGCGTGCAGAGGAGGGCTCGCAAATGCGGACGAGGAGGTGCACGGGTGAATGCTGAGTGTTGAACGGCTGTTCACATGCTGGGGCACGCGTTTGTTTTGGCGAGAAGCGGTTGCGTCAGTGCTCCGACTGATGATCGGAACCGTACCGCGCTACAACAATCATCACCTCAAGGCTCCCATTTTGCTGCAGCCAGCTGTCATCTCGTCATCTCCACCCGTGTGCACGTGAGGAGAGAACATACAGCGCTATTGAAATCATGATATGACGACGCCTTTGCACGGCTGCTTCTCTTAAAGTTGCAGCACTCGACTCAGGCACGCTGCCCATCATGGCCGCCAACGAACCCACGCTGTCGTCCCGGGCGAATCAATATGTCCGTGAGATCCTGCATAATACCGAACCCCCACCTGCTATACCCGTTCGCTACTTTTACACGTCGCCTCTTGCGATAGACGATCCACTCTCGCCCGTACCGCCGCCGCCAACAGCCTCGTCGACGGCCAAGAGGGTGCCACCGCGGCCCTTCTCCGAGTACGACAATGAAGCCATCCAAAAGTCGTGGCACGCCCTCCGCAAAAAGATACTCAAGCACAACGAGGAGTTTGGCGAGAAAGATGGCACGGGGCGGGGGACGCCGACGAACCCAGCAGTGGAGCGGCTGAGGCGAAAGAGAGGAGGTAGTGCTTCCAGCGTCGAAGCCTCTGTCCAGGGCAGGGATATACCAGGCGCAGAATCAGCGGCCAGAGGGCAGTACTCGAGCTCCGCCGAGATGCTCGACAGGAAGCGGCCGGGCTCCAGCGGTGGCAGTCACGGGCACTCTGCTTCGGGCTCGCTGAAATACGACCACGGATCCATATCGCCACTCGAGCCTTCGACAACAGGCACCCCTTTTATCCGAGCGCCGTCCCGAGGGAACATTTCCAAGTCGTGGAGGCCTACGCCCCCAGAGGGAAGCCACCGCCCGACGATACATGAAGTGGATAGCTACAGATGGGATGACGACATGGAGCCTGCTCTGTCGACAGCCAAGGACAAGGCGCCAGCAAAGGCCCCCAAGCCAAAGCCGGGCCCGTCTGCAAAAGTGCCTGTTGGTGTCTCGAGACTGCATCACGTAGTCATGGACGCCGGCTCGATACGAATGGAGCCCATATACTGGTCGCCGCTTAGCGACGTGGCCAAGATAGTGCGGGGGACATGGTTTTATAAAGACAGCATGATGCCCGTCGAGGTCGAAGTTGCCAACATGCTTGAAGTCGGATACCTTGAAATGAAGCCCTGGACGCAGACGTGGACGGACGAGCTCAACAGCGCCGTCGAAGTCGGCGCTTTTGGTGAGATGAAGATCCTGCATCAGCTCTGGCCTGAAAAGCCCAGGAAATCAGAGAGTAGACCGTCGACTTCGCATCAAATGCTGCAATCCAACGGCCTAGTCCAAAGCACGCTGGGTGACGAAGAACATGATCCGCAGAAAGAGCACCGTGAAATTGTTGACAACGCATGCGACTTGATTGATATATCAACGGGCCCCGAAGGCCCTGACCACAAGGCGGCTGGAGATCTCGAGTACGGTGCGGACGGGCGAAAACGCCTTTATCGGAAAGCTGGCGTCATATACTCCAACGATAAGGAGGCCTATATCCTCAAGCCTGCACTCCAGCCGTCCGACTACTATGGAAGAAGACCACTCGCCAACTATATCCGCAAAGGACGGGAGATTGGCGTTCATGTCGTACGGGGATTCGACCAGGCCATCTGGGACAAACTGCATCCAAGCAAGAACTCGCCAAAAGCACAAGCGGCGCGCCAAGGAGTCTCATCGTCGCAAGGTGGCGCACCACCATACCAAAGACAAAAGTCGGATCCTACCCTTGCGCAATCCGAACGACCCAAAGTGACGGATCTTGTACTGGTAATCCATGGCATTGGACAGAAGCTATCAGAAAGGATGGAGACCTTCCATTTTACGCATGCGATGAATGCCTTTCGACGGGAAATGAATGTTGAGCTTGGAACGCCTGATGTCAAGCGCCACTTGCGCAAGGATATGGGAGGGGTGATGTGTTTGCCGGTAAGTCACTGCAAATGGCAATTTTGAGTCACCCATTCTCAGACACACACAGGTCAATTGGCGCCATCGTGTCTCATTGGAAGTGGACAATACTGAAGTCGAAGCGCCAGAGGATCCCTCTGCCAATAAATACACATTGAAAGACATCACCCCAGACACCCTACCCTCGGTCCGTGGTATCGTAAGCGATGTTATGCTCGACATTCCCTACTATCTTTCTCCGTTGCACAATCCCAAGATGGTGGCCGCCTGTATACAAGAAGCAAACCGCATCTACCGCCTATGGTGCCACAACAACCCTGGATTCGCAGAGTATGGCCGGGTTCATCTGATCGCACACTCTCTTGGCTCAGTAATGGCTATGGACATTCTAAGCCAACAACCAACCTATGTGGATCCGCAATTTACCGACCCGTCGTTCCCTGAAGCTGAGATACCTCAGGACCAATTTATCTTCAACACAACCGACCTCTTCGTCTGTGGTAGCCCAGTCGCCCTCTTTCTCCTGATGAAAAATGCCAACCTTTTGCCGCGCCGTGACAAGGAAAAGGCCGGCGCAGACTCCTATGCTGCACCCGGCGTGGCTGGCGAACAAGGCACGTATGGGTGTCTTGCAGTGGATAACATCTACAACATTATCAACCCGTATGACCCCGTCGCCTGCCGCATAAACCCAACCGTGGATATATCTTACGCCTCGATGCTCAAACAAGCAACTATCCCATCAGCCTCAACATCCTACTTCTCGTCGCTCAACCCCTTCCGCTCCGCCACCTCTTCGCAACCTTCCTCAACCAACAAGCCCCTGACCATCCGGCTCCCCAGCAATGTTGAGCTTGAAATACACAACTTCACACGCGAGGAAATCGCAGAGAAGAGAATGTATCTACTCAACGACAACGGCCAGATTGACTACTACATGAAGTATGGGGGTGGGCCATTGGAAATCCAATACCTGACCATGCTGGGCGCGCATAGCAGTTATTGGCTGAGCAAAGATTTTGTGAGGATGATTGTCGTCGAAGTAGGCAGAGGACTAGGGAAAGCAGGTACAATCAGCGAAATGCGCGCTGTAAAGAAGAAACCTGTTATTGGTGGAACTTGAGGGATCAGCTCAACCAAGCATGCATGCAGGCATTATCGGGGATCTTGGAGTTTCACTTGGCTTACTTTCCCCTCTAGTTATACCCCCCCTTTTTTTCTCTCTTCCTCTTCCCCTTCTCCAGTGTGTTTTTAACCCCCTCTTATCAAATGACGCTTCGACACAACATACATAAGACGGATTCAGCAAGATGCATGCGCGGAAAAAAAAGCTGAGATGCGAAAAGAAGGGAACACGATAAGATTAAGAGAAGTCATGATTCGATTTTATTTTCGTAACCGCAGCAGCGCTTTTATACAGATAGATGGATATACATTTTAGCACTTTTACATACATTTATTATGTGTACAATCTCCACTTTAATGTAAAATTTGAATTTTTACACTACGCCGCTCGAATCGATGCTCTGAGTATTACACATCATACTCGCACACACTACTCTTTCTCTTTCTCTCCATCACGCTTGTACTTGTCTCCGTGTGGGGGAAAAAGATGGGGATGGGAGGACAAGCATATCGGTCCATCCATCCTCCGCATTGTTTCAATCCATCCATCTCCATATGCACTAAACTGACTAAGTTACCCTGTTTCCACGTGCATCCCATCCCTCGCATCCATCCATGCCTCCCTCGTCCACACTGTTTCAATCCCCCCATTTAACCCATCCATGTATGCACTAGACTGACTAGTAAGTACCCGGTTTCCCCTCCCCCCCCCCGCGCCCATGCCTCGATTCATAGCTTGCATGGTTTTGTTTCTTCGACCTGGACTTGCCTACTAACTGGACGCTAGTGTCGCACTTGGCGTCTCTACTTGATTTGCTTAGTCGCTTCGCCACTGCCGCATGTGCATGCGTCAGCACGGCCGTCGTCCAGTGTGCGCGTTTGAAGTAGAGTGGGAGTGGGAGTGGCGGACGGCACTAAAAGCCGATCTGGCTTTGGTTTCTTAATTTTCCGGGTGAACTGGTATTGGCAGTGACGGGGTAGTAGTAGTAGTGGTGGTGGATGTGTGGCAGGGGATCGGCGGGTGGCGGGTGGGGAGGGCTTTTTCTTCTTTCTCCATCTATATAGCGCGGTTACGTGTGTAGAGATGCATATAGCGCCATTGCCAAGGCTGAACTGTGCGTGTCATACCATTATGTGGCACGAATAATACATGTACGCCGGATTATTTTTGGTTGGATGGATAAAAGGGGACGGGTTATGTATATAACGGAATTATAGCTTCATTAACATGCCGTCACACACACACACACCTCTAAAGATTGAAGGAACAACCAAAGAAGAAAGTGAGCCAGATAGCGTTGGAAGTTACACAGTGTCCTTGATCGACCGTTGAATCAAGCTTTTTCTCTGGACCTTTTGTTTTTTATTCATTTATTTATTTTCTCACTGATTCATGTCTACGCTATCTCCACAATTCAAATCAAATAAAAACCCACGTGGGATTTCCAAGATCGCACACCCACTCACAACCGACTGACTGACACATACACACATAATATAAACGCCTGCCCCTTTAGTAAAAACTATTACCTTAGCTACTACGCTAGCTGACCCCCCCCCCTCCCAAGAAAAACGGGGGCTAGAACAAATAGGCAATAACCAAACTCCACTTCATGTATGGTGATCAATTAAGTCACTAACTAGTTACTTCAACTAAACTGACTCTCTAAGTCGGAGTTTCTACTT